AGGACATATTATTGGGAAGAAGATGATGCTCCTGTGTATAAAATTTGGAGATTACATTGTCGAAACCGTTTCCAAGACAAACTTCATCAAGCTTGAAAGGCATGGGTTAAGTACAAGCAGTTGCCCGAGTTCATGCATAAGGATACCTTTAAAATTTTGTTGGCAAAATGGGGGAGTTCAAAATATATTGCACTCCAGGAAAGAGGTTGGAAAAATCGAGCAAAAGGTGACTATGTGACCCACACAACTGGATGTCTTTCTATTGGGATCCATGAGGATCGACTGGTTAGTATGATATACTTATATATATACATATATAAAGTATTTTTGTTTACCATAAAAATGGAAATGTTATTGATTTTATTGATGTTTTAATAAGCTGCTAAAAGAGGAGGAGTTAAGCTGACACCTTTAGAGCCGTACTTGTTGACTCATACGACTTGCGACCTGATGCTCCAAAAGATGCCTCACCCACTTGGATATGTCCATAAGCTGAGCAGACATATGTAAGAATCTGATTCTTTATGATATTAATTTTATTTATTTTTAATGTCAATTTTGATCAAAAAAAGAAAAGTGATACAATTTTTTATCATTGAACTTAGGAAATGATTATTTTTCATTTGATTTCCCATTATCATTTGAAATTGCTAACTAATGAAAATTTTATTCTTGAAACAGAACGATGCTCACCAAAAATATGTGGAGAAGCATGGGCCAAACAAGGATTTGTGGCTAGAATGGGATCCACGTATCTGGAAAGAGGTGGTTGGACCTCCTAAAAAGGGTCAGATGGGAGGGATGTCTACATTACAGGATCCAGCAAAGCATGGCATCCCTTGGCGACGATATGACATGAGTGAGGCCTCCTCTTCTACCACCAGGATTCTTACGATATAGGTCCAGCAGTTGTAGTCTAAGCTTACTCAAGTTCGAGAAGAAATGGCTAAGTGAATTCAAACAAAGGTGGCTGCACATATTCATACAGAGATATTACAGAGAGTATCAAAGATAGAGGCCAGCTTTGAGAGGAGATTCCAAGAGCACATGCACTTACTTAGCCAGCAATATTCTATGAATGCTACACAACCCCAGACTAGTTATCCTTCTTCTGCACCACCCTAGACTGCTAATCCTTCTTTTAGAGGATTTAGACTAGATCACTTACCACCTCCTACTTAAAGACATTGATATTTTAAACTTATATTATATATGTTTATATATATGTACTGCATATGTATATATATGGTATGTAGGATAAGAAGTTAGTATATATTTATTAACTTAAACTGGTTTTTAGTTATGTAGTATTTGAGTTTAAATAGATAAAATATATAATATTAATAAAATTTAACAATTCTATAGTAAAAAGAAAAAAAATTACAATATAATTGTTGATGACCACTTAAGATTTCAAAACAATAAAAAAATTAAGTGTAAAATATAAACAAAAAAAGGAGTCGTCACTCGTTCAAATTATAAGGTGGGACAAGTCATCTAAAATAAGTTTGCGCAGAGATCGAGGTTCATGGGTTCGGTTAGGAGTAAGGAAGAGCATATGCGCACCTCACAATCCTCTGTTTAAACATGGTTGCATACTTTAAAATTGGAGTTTTAATTCAACTTATTTATTATATTTGTATTTAGGTCCTAATAAGCAAACTTGAAAAAGAGATAAACCAAATTGCAATTTTTAAATTTTTGGATTGAAATGGATGAAATCAAAGAAGTATATACACCACAAGCACAAATAAAAATTAAAGAGATTAATTTGATTAAATTCGAAACATAAAGGACTGATTTGGTTAAGTTCAAAATATAGAGGACTAATTTGAAAAAAATTGAGACCCATGGACTAAATTACTTAATCATAAAATTTGAGGTGAAATTGAGATAGAACAAAAGATAACTTTCACTTTGAGCCAAACTAAAGAAAATTAAAGAAAATTGAGAATTGAAATTAATTAATCAAGATAATTAGTTTAATTATATAATTAATTTAAAATTAATTAATTACATTTACTCATCTTTAATTGAAATGATCAAATAAATTTAATTATCTCAAATTAAATTTCAATAAATATGATTAATTTGTTTTAATTAAAATTAATTAACTTCATCAATTATAAATTAAACCAACTCACCTAATTAATTAATAAAATTTATAAATATATATATTTTACCTTTTACCCTTTTTAGTTTTTTTATTGGATCGGGTCAACCCGACCCACAAAACACAACCCATTCATCCAAACATTGCAAAAATGGATCAAATATCGAACAGAAAAGGACTTTGGAGAGAAACAGAATGGAAGTTAGGGTTCTGTTCAACATTTCTACAAAAAAAAAAAAAATTTCAATAGACTATAACGCAAACATAAATCCATAAAATCCAACCAGAAGATGACAGAAAATAAACTAAATAGACTTTTTTTCTCACTCATTTTTCGATAACCATATACAAAAATCAACAAGATCAACAAAATAACAGAAACACCCACGGTGGAGTTTTAAGAAGGTAAATCCAGGTTTGATGGGAGGGATCCCACCCACGGGACCAGGCTCCTATCATCCCCTTCAGTACGGTTCCAAAAACCACTATGTTTCAGATAATACCTTCAGCAACGAAACCCAGAAAATGAAGCTCCTCTGGAAGCTCGGTTATCCTTCTTCTCGAAAGCCGTTGTCGCCCCCTTTCTTCTCCACTAAATCCCCTTCTATTGCTCTCAAAAACTCAGACGAGACTCCCCAACTCAACTCCGAAAATGAAAAACAGACCCCCCAAAATCAAACTCAAGACCCCCCCTTTTTCTGTACTCTGCTTTTGCTCTATATATAGACTCAACTGATAATATAAAAATAGAAATGAAATAGAAAAAAGGCTTTGCTCTGTCAATCACCAATGATGCCAATTTTGTCTGGCATTGCTGTTTTTTCTGTATGGTTGTAGTGTGCAGAAGGCAGGGGCATGGGATTGGGGCGTAGAGTGCAGGAGGCGCAGGCTCGGTACAGCAGTATAAGGGCGCAGGTAGCAAGGGCTGGTTCGGTGTAGCAGCAGGGGATGTAGGGAGTGTGCAAGGGCATGATTGCCGGTGTGCAAGGGGTATGATTGCCGGCGATCTAGGCGCAGAGTGCAGGCGATCTGGGCGCAGAGCAGGGAGCAGGGGCACAGGCTGGGCGCGGGTTGATTTATTTTATGTAGGTTGATTTATTTTATGACATAACGGGTTTGAAATAAATTTCATGGAAATATGATCGCATGATGTAATTTGTTAAATTTAAACTAACTTATTTCAATTGAAAAGTATGTGGGTTGATTTATTTCAACATGAAAACATGTGGGTTGAAAATTTTCAAAAAAAAGTAGAGGAGTAGATTTTAAATAGCTTGAAAAGTATCTGAGCTAATATGCCTTTTTTGCCCTTTATTTATTTATCTTTTTTGTCGCCCAACCTTAACTTATAACTTGGAGGGCTAAAGGTCTTAAAAATTGCAAGTTTAAGGGCTTTTATCAGGATTAAGCCTATTCCCTTCATATTCATTCGCTGGGAAGTCGCATGGATCTCTTCTTTTAAA